TCTTTGTGCTCTCATTTTGTTTTGTATGCCGATGCCTTTAGCTTTTTAACTTAGAGCCATTCACATCTCTAATCCCTGGGGAATCACTGATGCCTTTCTGAACTGTAAACCTTGAAGGACTGAGTGCTCTTGTGTGACATACATTCTCTGTACAACTCACTTATAATTCAGAGCAGACCTATACAATTACCATGAGGATGGTGGTAAAGAATCAATCCCGTGAGTCCTGAAGGTCAGTTCCTCGTCATTTCATTAGATCCTTGAGAGTAGAATTCTACTCATGCACCTTTTCAACGGCAAGGATTTATTGACCATGTGAGTTCAGCAGAAAAGCACACGGTGCTGACACAGATCTGTAATGCAGAGGAGCATGTTCCCCTTTGTATTTATCTCCTGGGCATTATATTGCATAGCATTCTTTGATTTGTACCATTTAAAATGCCCCGTTGTGTTTGTACCGTCAGATTTAACAAGGTCACCAGCGTACACTTGAGAATTCCAAGTACCTGTTAAGACACAACACACTTTTCCCCCCTTTTGTGTTGTTTAATGTTCAAGACTGCAAAGTCCACAAGAGATATTAAAACCAGGGAGAAGAAAGTTTAGGCCAAGATGAATTACAGTGTTTGCATGAACCTGCCACTGATAACAGTGATCTCACTGACTGAAAAGCAACCAATCCAGATGCAGTATACACAATCAATTTCAGTGAGGATATGAATGACAGAAGTCATAAAGCTTGAATGCTTTATCTAAATGATGAAGTACTGAATCCAGGATTAGGGCAGAGACCATGTAAGTGCTTTTGTCACTAGAAAAAAAAATAACTGCAGAACAGAATCCTGATAAATATTTAAAATTCATGCTGAAGTTTTGGATATCAAATTTCATAATCCAGTGCAGCAGACACATACATATTTTTACCCTATCAATGCACCTCAGGGAAATAACAGCTGTTCTCTCTGGCTCGAACTTAAAAAATGGCCCACAATGAAAGCTTTATGTTCTTTTGTGCCTTTTTCTTATTCCTGTAAGAACATTTGCTATTAATGGCTGGTGAGAAGGCAATTCCATCTGTTTATTAGCTTATTGATAGGACACTGGGAATAGTTACATCTAACAATGTGCTTTCTGCACCAGGCAAACTACATGCAAGTCAGCACTGTATGAAATCTTTAGTATGTGCAGCAAAATTAGAGCTGCACATTCAAACATCCTGTCTGGGAATGTATATTATATTACAAATTTTATTCCAATTACCTTCTTCCAGTAAATGGAAGAAGAAAATATTTGTGTAATCAATTATTTGATTTTCTTCTTATACTCTCTCCTCTTTCAGGTGTTCTCATTAGGGATCCCCATGGATGCCTACATCTCACCCTATCCTTTGCATGCTCCCCTTGTCAAACCAACACTCTGCATGTCTTCCTTCACGACACTCATGAATCATCCTTGTGTGCTTCTTTTGCTTTTACTCGTATCCAAATCAATTACAGTATGTCATCAAATTGATATACTTTTTTGTTATCTTACATGGCAGTTGGACTTGTGTTTCATATAGAGATGACTTTAGAGTAACTTTAGACCTTGAATGGTGATTACTCATTGGTGGCTGCAAGTGAAAAAAAAAACATGATTAAAATTCCTATGTAACTGAGACTGAAGTCATAGGAACTAAATACTGTACTGTGGTGCAGTTAAACAGTTCATAAATCTCAGAATTCATGCTTTACTAAGGTAAAGCTTTCTTGTGGGCTGCTGGTCTTTGTCTGCTTTCCATATGATTCACTCTCTCTAAGCATTGCAAAGAAAACCTTAAAGAAGGTTAAGTCATTTTGTAAACAAGTTATCCAGCAGAGGGTTTCATCATCAGGGCTTTTTTAGAGAATATCCCACTCGGTTTTTTCATCACTGAACATAGGTTAAGACTGCTGTGCAACTCAACATTGCAGTGATTGCTGCACTCTGTAAAAAAATATTGCATTTGATTAATGATTTCTTTACAATCCTGGACAGATGTACGTGTTAATTGAGAATGTTACAGAATTTCACGGCCATGGCAAGCAATACACATCCGGATAACATATAGAAATAACTGGTTAATTTTTTTCCCTTTGGTGCTCATGGATAGAAATCAAAAATAGCATAGAAAGTCTGAATGTGGCAAGGATAGGTTTTGGATTTGATTGCATTACAAGGAATTGATTTTAAGATGTTGCACAGCTGTGGTTCCAAATATCAAATTAGCACTAATTTTAATTTGTAGTTTGAGCGCAACACCACTGAGTTGTGTAATAAAATTTTCACTTGGAATTAGAGTCATCCAAGTATACTCAGGTATAGTCCACAGGTGGTCGATAAGGCACGATAAGGCATCTTGAACAACGATTGATGTTGTTTTTTTTTGTTTTTTTTAAATCCCTTTCTCTGTGTTCTATCTGAGCAAGTTAGAGAGCTGTAACAGGCCCTGGGATAACCATGTTCCCCATTCAAACTATTAAACCTGTACAAGTACACTGTTGAAATAAAACCCGACAAAGCACGAGGCAAAACCTTGAGCAGTATTTAATGTATAATGAGAGTTGAAGTTTTTTCATAGGTTAAACAAGAGTAATAAGATTTACATGTTATTCCCTGAAAGCCCCGTTATTTAACATGCCCTCAGATTTCAAGTAGTCTGATATATTACAGTTTTGGCTGTGAAAGTGTTTGTGATTCAGTGAAATATTTCATCACCAATTAATCTGAAGGAGGATACAGAGAACAGCACCACAAGGCAAAGCCATATTCCTCACATCACAGAGTAGAAAGTTAGACTGCCTCATTAATTCCAAATGAAAAGATAAATAAACATTGTAAAACAAAAGACCACCGCCTTGTTTTCTGATGAAACTTCTACTGATGGAAGAGTCATCTTTAGGCAAGGAGAGTAGCTTGGTAATTACAGTATGATTACTGCACAGGTCCGGAGCGTAGAGCTATAATAACCGAATCAATACTTTCCTTTCATTTTAACTTTACAAACCAAGGATCTTTTCAAGGGCACACATTGCCCTGTGGGACCAGTGCTGAGCCACATTTAAGCAGACGCTCCCCTCTCCGTCTCTTCGTCCATGCCGATACAAACAAAACCTGGTGCCCTATGCAGAGTAAAGTGCTTTATTTCAGGGCTCACGTCCACGATAGCCCACAGCAGCTGGTGTTCTCACAGACCACTGCATGGAAAATGGGCTGATTTCAGGATTTAGCTGCCCGTGGTGATTTCCTCACTTGCTTCTTATTGGGTCCAGAATTACTTTGTTATGGACTTGCAAAAGATTAAAACTGAGGTTTTGAGCTCCCTTCTCTGTTTTCTTAACACGCAGCTCAGTGTTGCTATTGTTTACCTTTATTATCCTTCACTGACGGAAGCAACGCCATTAGTATACAGCTGTTTGATTTTTGCATTTGAAGATTCAAGCTCAGGTACATCTGTTGTTATCATAGTTATGACACCTGAAGGAAAATAACACTCATCAGAGTAGGTGAACGTTATATAACATAAACCTAAAATGACGCTAATATTATGACTATATCTGTCAGATATATTGATGTATTACATCTAAGCTCAAACAGCTCCATCAATCATAAAGCAAAACAGACAGTGGCACATCTGCTGTCTATCAGCTTTTATTCATTACACACTAAATGAGAAACAATGAGCACCAAGTTTTCCAAGCACTGCACAACTTATGTAGCAGTCTCGCACCTCATGAAAAGTTTTGATA